ACTCCTTGATAACTAAGGTAGATAAAGAGTACCAAAAATCTCAAAAAATCTCAAAAACCTAAAATAATATGTCAGCAATGTTTATAATTCATCAAAAACACTGTTTCAATTCACAATCTCTACTGTTTAAATACCTGACTTTTGCATAGCTTTTAGATACAATTCATTAGCTCAAAGACACCACTGAAATGATAACACTTCAGATGATCATTTTAGTATTTTTACTTCTTATAAGCAAATATAAAGAAAGGCACAAAAGTATTTTACTATAGTCACATAAGCCCACGCAGATATGATATGAATGTAAGGTTTTGAAAAATCAAACACTAAAAATTCTGACAGTCAAATGTGATCGAATATGCCCCAAATTTCAAGGAGAACTTTCAAATGAAAATGAAGGAATCAGTTCCTAGAGGATAGAGCCATGTCTTACCTTCTTTCAACATTAATCTTTAAATAAATCATCCAAAAGTTACATAACCATGTTCTATATCATTTCATATTTTTTTGAAATGCTTTGTCAGAATAGATTTCATGATATTCTTGGCTCTTTTTAGAGTTAGTATCAAAACTATATGAAGAAATCTTCCTTGCAGCAATTATAAAAAAAGCTACTAAAAATAATACCTAAAGAAAATGAAAACACTAATTCAAAAAGTTATAGGTACTCATATGTTTATCACAGCATTATTTACAAAAGCCAAGATATGAAAACAACCCAACTGTCCACTGGTAGATGAATGAATAAAGAAGATGATTTTATATATATATAATGGGATATTTACATATCTATAATGGAATATTACACAGCCATAAAAAAGGATGACAACATAGCTGGACCTAGAAGGTATTATGCTAAGTGAAGTAAGTCAGACTGAGAAAGACAAATGCCATATGATGTTACTTACATGTGGAATCTAAAAAAACAGAACAAAAGATTAAATGAAAAACAGAATCAGAGCTATAAACACAGAGAACAAACTGATGGTTGCCAGATGGCAGGGGGGTGGGGAGATGAGCAAAGTGGGTGAAGGAGAGTAGAATGAAGGAGAGTAAAAGATACAGGCTTCCAGTTGTGAAATGAATAAATAACAGGAATAAAAGGTACAACATAGGGAATATAGTCAATGGTACTGTAACAGCTTTGTATGGCGACAGATGGTATGCATCCTTGTGGAGAGCATAGCATAACACAGAGTTGAATCACTATGTTGTATACCTGAAACTAACATAACATTCTGTGTCAATCATATTCAAATTTACAAAAATTTTTAAGTTGAAAAACAAAACAACCTAACTAAAAACAAACAAACAAACAAACAAAAAAACAACCTGTGATAATAACAGATCCTCAAGTCCTTTCAGGTCTAAGAGGCAACCACATTTCAGAAGAAAGCCCTAACATATGCTCAGGAGCCTAACATCTTCATTAGGAATGCAGATATTTTCTCAGTGGATTTGGAATAAGGTCTCTGGAGGTAGAATTCTCTCATCCCTAAAGTTTGAGTAAAAGGAGGGATGCTCACAAGCATTGGGAATACTCACAACAAATGGACTGGAGTCCAGTCCAGCCCATACCTGCAATGGGGGTAGGAATCTGCCCAGAAGTTTTGCCTACTCCTTTATCTCCATGCAAATACCTCCCTGCTACTAGAGTCCTCACTGCACTAGAAAAGTGAAAACCAGAAATTGTAACTACAGTTTTGAAATGTATTTCCAAATTGCTTTTCAAATAATTAGAAAAATTTACAGCATACTCAGGAATGTCTATCAGTTTCAACACAATCTTCTAAAACTTCATATTATTATATTTTATATCTTTGTTAACAGAATGGTAACTCATGATTATTTTAATTTGTATCTTTACAAATGAGAAAAAATAATAACAAAATTAATATTTAGTAACTGAAAAGTTAGCAGTTTAATAATAATAGAAAGATTTAGTAATTGTGTGAATATAGCCAGACCTATTTGTTGACCTATTGTCCCTGGCAGCTTTCACGCTACACCAGCCCAGAGAAGTCGCTGCCACAGAGACCAGGTGGCCCACAATGTCTATAATGTTCACTCTCTATAGTTCTTTACAGAAAAAGTTAGCTGACCCACGCTCTGGAATTTAAACATTAATTTCTATATACATTAGGAAAATAACATATTATTCGTCCAGTTATAGAATTCTTAAAAATTTGTGGCATATTCGCTGCTCATCTTTTTCACTATAATTTTAAAAAGTTATAATGCCAAAATAATATTTAGTTTTCTATTTTTTTGGTATAATTTCTGTGTTTGCTATGTAATATATCTGGAAATTATTCTGGTCTGATTTTCTTTATCTTTTTAATAAAAAAAAAACATAGCTTTTAAGTGGAACTGCAAATATGGACATACAATAACACTGTTCAAGGAGAAATTATTTTTGGTTCCTTACTTCCAATTCCTCATAACTGATCTATTCTTCATTGCTATATTTATCTATACAAATAAATGTCAGAATATTCAAAATCCTAAGTAAGACTTACAGAAAAGAATGAAGTATTGATTTACATAAAACCCAGCAGTTTTAGTATGTCAAATTTATATTTTTTCCATAAGTTTCATCCTGATTATGAAAAAAATTGGAAAATTTATTTATTTGAAATATTTGGCCTAATGACACAATAAATTATCTAAAACATTTCTAGGCTTATTTCTATGAAAAAGGTTCCAAGTGCCTCTGTTCCAGTCCTCCTTCACCAAAAAAGAATATTATAAAAATAAATGTTAATAAGTTCTAAAGCTCTTAACAACTGTTTACCATTAATTGTGACAAGCATGAATGATGGAAATTGACTAAGGAATATATTTATCTAGATGATCAGGGAATGAGTGATTTCAGTCTTATAGTACCCATTTAACAGCCAAGAAAGATGATGGAGTTCTTAAGTTTGGAAAACTTAAGCTAGACAGAACCATGTATTTAGCTTAAGTCATCCATGGTATTAAGAATTATTATTAATGTTATTATTACTGTGGCCCCACAAAGTAGAGAAATTCTGAGTAGAATATCACTTGGGAAAGAAGACAACAGGTGCATTTGTCTACCATACCTCTACCATAACTTTCCAAGTCACAGCAATCATTACATGCTCCCATTTATAAAATCGTTGACAGAAGAGTTTCTTCAATAATCAGCAGATTATAAGTATGCTATTTAATTCTGAGAAATCAGATTGTGATTTATTTTTTAAATCAACTCACATTTTTCAGGACCAGTATCTATATTAATAGAAATAGAAGGATTTTAATGAGAAAATGATATTGCTGGTGATTATTTCTTTGAAAGCATGTTTAATTGTTTTCTGAATCTGAAGTTTTGAGTGAATTTCTCATTCCAGCCCTTGGACCTCAAAAGCATGTGGTCACTTGCTCTTGTTTACCTATATTTAATTTTTAAAGCACTTTTATTTTCATGCATTGCATTTTTCTTAATGACGTTTAAAAGGTGAAAAAACGGAATACACTTACGTAACTTAAAAATAGGGAAGGAATTATTAACTAACATTTGAATGAGTGGTTTAAATTCTAAATTAATAAAAAAATATTCATAGAAACTACCTTTTAAACAAGACAGTTACTTCTTAGGGAATATATTTACCCATTGTTGCTAAGCAAGCATGTCGAGTTCCTAAAAAGTTACCAAAAAAGTTTACCTTTTTTTGCCACCTCAGTTCAGAAATTGCACTAGAAGCGGCCGCTTAGAAATCTGGAGCGACTCTCCTGGAGGATGTGGGTAATTTAACCCATAACCGAGAAGGAGAAAGCTCAGCTGCGGGGTTGTTAAGGCAGGTGTTCTCCCCTCCCCCGTGGGACTTGCCTGCCTCCCCACCTTTCTGTTTATTCTCCTGCCTGTGGTGACTTCCATTCCCAATCCCGGAAGCACTGTCCTCTTTTTCAGTACAGCGCTGACAGACTTTCTTTTCACTTCTGCTAACTGCAAACCCTGCCTCTGCATGTTGTCATTACTGGTAAGTTCTGTTTCTGTTTCAGTTTCCCTGGGGTCTGACAGACTTTCAATGCTAGGAAATTATGGGATTCATCCAGATCACAGTAACAGCCAAAGAGCACCTCAGACTCCTCACCCACTTGTTCTTCTCACCCCTGGAAATATCAGGTGCCACATCCTGAGTATGAGTACAACCCCTCTGTTTCTTTTACTCAGAAATCCTACATATCTTAGTCTCATGGTTTCACTCTGAAATAAATAACTTGCAATAAGGTCAAATTCCTGGGTCTGACAGATCAAAGATAAACCTTATTCTCCAGGAAATTTGAAAATCAAAGTATTTCAAGAAAGAAATTGTTGGCCCTCCCAGCCAAAAATCACAATAGGCCTTTGAAACCATTTTAAGGAACATATCGTGACTATGAATTATTACAATCTGAAAGTCAACTTAAACATTTGATTGCTCATGTTTTACGCATCTGCACAAAATATTAGTGTCATAATTAAAATGGTATTTAAGGGCCCTTTCACTGAAGTTAGTCAGATATTGGAAGTAAAATGCCTTTATAGGGCTGCAACTGGGATTCCAAGTTAGCATATGCTTAAAAAATGCCCTGTGACCTCATGGAAAATGAACTATACGTGAATATATAAATAGGCCAAAGAATGTGACAGCCTGAATGTAAGGGAATCTGCAATATTGCTCTAAGTCACTCTATAATAAAATATATGTTCAGCTTTGCACAAAATTTCAAATTAAAAAGACAGCATCACTGTCTATTTCCAAATGTCAGTTCATAGCTAAAGCCAAACTCAGGAGGCATGAACATGTGATGCCGTGTGGCACGAAGAGAACACAACAGCGTGCCACCGAACCAGAGGCAGCTGGGTAGTTTGATCACATTGGTTTTATTCTGTCAACTTCCTTCCAGGAAGCTTGGAGGTTGACCAATGAGGTCCACTGTTGATCCTTAGGCCACCACCCTCCCCTCCTTCTCGTTTGTGGCTTAGAACTTACCCACACCCCAAGTTCTCTGGTGTCCTCGCTGTTACAGCCATAGTAGTCTGGGGTTTTATCCAATTCCTGCATGTGTCCTTGTGCTCTTACGCTCTTATCCGCATGACAGGACGGGCAGAGAGCGGCATTACCCATCTCAGTTCTACAGTTCCTGCTGTCACTGGGCCTGTGCTTGCCCTCTGTGCTCTGTCCAGGGCTCCCAGGGGGGCACTACTGTGGACAATGCATCCAGACGATCCTTGGCTCCTCTGCTCAATTCCCCTACACGCCCCTCACCAGTTCTCCCCATCTGCTGGCTGGCTTGCTGGTGTCAGAGAGAACTCAAAACCCCAGCAACTGCAGGCTGCATTCAGTGACCATTTCCAATTCAGGCTCTGCCAGTCTATTTTTACACCTACCAGGCCAGCTATGCATGTCAATGGAGTGAGGGGGGTGAGCTGAGACAGAGCAGGGGAGGGGGCGGTGTTGTTTTGTTTTTCACCATGTGAGCGGCCTGCTCTACACATGGACTTAAGTTCCTGCTGTGTAAAATGTCTCTACATTGAGAATTTTGGCATTACTCAGTAAATGCCTTTGAGTCCTTTAATTTTTTTCCCCTTCTGTCTTTCTAGTCACACGGAACACCAAATCTGTTAATGATCTCACTTTACCAGCATAATAGGTAGAAATTATTTTCATAATTGTTTAAACCAAGGGTCATCTCCTCAGCTGACATACATTATCTTTTTCATGATCATTTACAGAAAACAACTGGCCATCCTTTCAGCATTTAAACTTCATCAGAAACACATCCATCAAAATGGCTCATTTTACAATGGTATAGATATCTTGAATTTTACAAAGTAGCTACAGTTTTCCATTATTCAGGATTGTGCCGCAGTAGAGCAAACATTTTGATTTACTTATAATTCTTTTTAATTTTTAATATTTTGAAAACGTTTCCCCCAGCTTTATAAAAAAATAATTCAGAATGGCTTTCAAAAACATACATACCATCTCTGAAACCATATTACAGATTTTTGAAAGAAGTTGTTTCCACTGAGATGAGCACAGCAAATGCACAGTAGGTTTTTATGAAGCCCAATTATGATAAACATCAAGACTTTGTTTTGGACTGTTATTGATTAAACTTTATTCACCCCATTAAGTTTCCTCTAAAACTTTATATATATATATAGTGTTTTGCTGTTAGTCCTATCCTTCCTCATTTGATACTGGCTTTCTCTCTTCATATCTTCTAAATAGGTTTTAAACTACTCAATGGCAGGATAAAGATTTACATTTTGTATCACCTTCCAAGTTATATATTATATTAAATGTTAAAGAAATCTACTGAATTGAAAGCAATCATTTGGGGAAAACAGGATGTGGAAGATATTTAGAAATTAACCACATTACATTTGATAGAAGAAAACTCACCTTTCCGACTTGCCATTTTTTAAAACTAAAAATGCCTGTCATTATGATTATTTATTTAAATTAAAAACAGCATTCTTGAAATAGCCTACCACGCTATATTGCTATCCAAAACACTTAACCAAAAAAAAGCCCAACCAAACAAACAAAAACAAACAAACAAACAAAAACACTCCACCCTTTAACAAATTCAAATCCAAGAATGGCATTTTTGGATTGTTCATTCTTATAGCCCCATGCTGGGATATTTTTCGGTTTTGTTTTGTTTTGTTTTTTACCAATCCTGTTTGAATAGCTCTTTATCCCAGAATTTATGAACCTCGAGTATGTTATTTACTGTAAAGCTCTTACCCTTATCTTCCAATTTCTAAGAGGCACTAACAGTATTTGGTGAAATTATTTTTATCTTTCAGCTATAGGTGATGACATATCTTAAAACAGTTTTTTTTTAATTTATTGACTGAACCAATAACATTATGATAAAAATGGGGGGCATAATTTCTCCATTCATGTGAAAGACAAGCATAATTTAAACATTTTAACTGTTAAAGTTTTAATGGGGATTAAGGAGGGTACTTGTTGTGATGAGCCTGGGTGTTGTATGGAAGTGTTGAATCGCTATACTGTATACCCGAAACTAATATTACCCTGTCTGTTAACTACCTGGAATTTCATAAAAACTTAAAAAAAAAAAAAAACAACCTACGGAAAAGTGTTAAAGGTTTAGGTGAAAGTATTCATAAAGATGAAATGTTAATATCAGTAACAGGATCAGACTGGTAGCTGAGATTTACCAAGCAAAACCTTTTGTGTTGCTCAAATTATTTTTATATAGACTAAACTAATGATTTATCATAATGTGGTAATTCCTCACCAAATGTTACACCTACTTGAACAATATGTTGTAGAAATTAAGTAAGCACTGGTGTATAATAATGTGTTTACAAACTCTTTCAAAAAGATGTTTTAAAATGTCCTATCTTCTTCTCTAAGGTTCTTAGAGCCTTACAGTGCCTTACAAAGTCTTATAACATGCTTCTTCTTGAATATATATGAACTGTTTTATTCAGAATATAAACCAAGATTTTACCAGCTGTTAAAAGAGGTACACTTCTTTTCTCTCTTTTGGAATTAGTTGCCTATTTTTAAAGCATAAAAATTTAATATTCAACAATCTTTTAATATAGAATCATGTAATTTAAAACCTGGAAGCAAATCCTAAAATTTCTCTGTGGCCTCATTCCTTCATTCTAGAGTTGAGATCCGAATCCCTGTACTTAACATGTGTAAAAGGAATATTTAACCACTCTAGCTTAGGGAAAGATGTCCTTAGGTGCTCAATAAATAATTTTGCCGTGCTTTAACAGCATGAATTGTTTCCTGGAATCTTTCTGGCTCGTTAATACATTACCCATTCTACCACTATGCCTTCGATTTTCTTCTCCTTCAGCCAAGCAGCTAAGCATCCCTTTCTCCCCCAGTCCCTGTTCATTGTCTCTTTCAAAGCTCATCTTAAAATTCACTTTCCCCTAAAAGTCTTAATTACACCTACGTTAGTCCCTTAACTTGTTCTATCTTTTCGAATAAAGTTGGGACCACTATCAGCTATTTGCTCTTTTTACAGAATATGGCTTGTCTCTCACTGACCTTCTCATAGATGTAAAATACACACAGTAGTTTAAACGTTGCTAAGTAAATGAATAAAAGGCAGCCACAGATAGGAGCACGACTGATAATACCAATATTTAACTGCACTACACTGACCTTTTTGCACATTAACAGTAACAGATTTAATAATTTTAAACATTTTTATGCATGACCAATCTTTCATTTCATTTTCATTTCCACATTTACAATAAACACTCTGATTAGTCTTTGAAAAAATATTAACATTGTTTGGAGTTTATTTTCCTAGAACAGAATTTGTAGTGCTTTGTTTCAAAAGAAAAAAAAAATGTTTATAAAGTACACTGGAACATAAACCAAAAGAGAAACATGTTGACAACCCCTGCAAGATACTCTTTCTAAATGACTACAATTAGGTTCCTACCCTTCTCTCTTTCCTTTATCCCAGGGAAATCTTCCCATTCTTTCCCTAATAGAAAAAAATGTCCTACTTACTGAATATAATAACACCCATGCTCTTTATCATCAGGGCTGCCCCGAAATATGCCTCCCAGCGGTATCAAAATCTCACTACTAAGTTTGGTGCCTCAACAAGTGTGGGCAAAGGAAAGGCAAATATCCACTGCTGGTGCTCCTGTGATTGCTAAAATTTCCTATTTGCTGGCCAAACAGATTGAAATGATCAATCTGGAAGATATCATAGCTGTGAAAATAGAACTTTTCAATGAACAGCTTCATACGTGATCACTCCAGACTTTGCCAATGCTGCTTTCCGCATAATCAAAAAAAGGGTGAGAGGAGTTTGCAAAAGAGGACATTGCTTCAGAGGTTAAAATATTGCTAGTTTTAGGGGCGCCTGGGTGGTCCAGTCAGTTGAGCGTCCAACTCTTGGTTTTGGCTGAGGTCATGATCTCATGGGTCGTGAGATCTAGCCCCGCATCAGGCTCTGCGTTCAGTGGGGAATCTGCCCGAAGATTCTCTCCCTCTGCCCCATCCCCCACTCGTGTGCACACTCTCTCCCAAAAATAAATAAATAAATCTTTAAAACAAATATTGCTACTTCTATTTCCTAGTGGTTAACTAAGAGTGGCTGCCAGACAGACTTGTCACGAAAGCTTGGGTGATGTGACGACCTATATACCGAACATTTTGCCAATTAGAAGGCAAGGTTAGCAAATACTGTGTAGTACTCATGCCTTCATCATGCCCCCGTAGATTGTTAGGATCTCTGTGGACATCTGACAAGGGATATGCTTTCTGCCAGGGCAGAACAATGTCACCACTGTTTCTCAAAAATGCTTCAAAGTCATTAGGGCAAATTACTCAGAAAGCAAATATTTGCATGTTTGGACACACTCAGAGCAGGATACTTGACTTCGGTGCGTGATTTAGAATGTGAAATTCAAAGCCCTCATGATGGGACATATTTGCAATATCCTTCTTAAATTTCCAGGCACTTTTATTGTTATTATTTCATCTGTATTACTGTGGTTCAAATCCATCAAAAGAGAAAAACGATTAAGGACTGAGAACAAAGGCCAGCCTCTCATCTGTAATCTTCTGAAAGTAGCTGCTAAAGTCCCTACACAGCAAAGCTGAAAACCATCCATTGCAGTTTTAAATTTCACCTTTTAAAGAAGAAGCAATTATTATGGAATCATCAGAAAACTAACACCTTAGAGAAGAAATAACTGTATCAGTTCTCTAATTTAACCTAAAGAGTTATATCACAGCTCCTGCAGAGGAATGAAAAGACCTCTTAGCTAGGAATAACTAATCCCAGATTTTGGTTCTACCACTCATTTACCTGCATGGATTTGTGTAACCTTATCAAATCTGGGCTTGAGTTTTCTCTTTGAAAACAAGGGGGTCAGACTAGATGATTGCTAGATCCCTTCCAGCTCTGAAGTTCTTTACTTCCATGCAACAACACTTGTTTACATTTGAACATATGCCTAACAGGTGGTAATTGAAGCTGACCATCTATTTAGTTAGCAAGCATGAGAAAAAAAAAAAAATCGAAAAGAACAACTCAATATGTTGCATCACAGGTCCCTGGTTCTATGAGCTGATGGCATTCAGTGGCATTTCCATGGGATACTCACAAGGGAAGATGAAAGGACCGTCATGTGAAATATGACAAACTCTTGTCGGTATCTAGGAGCTCTATTCCAAGGTGAGGACCTTTATGCTCTTGCTCCACCTTTCCTGAATATTAGCCCCACTGAAAAACTAGAAGCATTTTGGAAAGCTCGCCCTGCCAGTTTTCTGCATCTCACAATTGTAAAACAACTTTCACCAGGAAGTGGTCTCAGTCTCCGAACCTGGTGTTGTAGGACAGCTTTATAGGATTTTGTAGGACAAGTTTTTGCAAATCACCTGCATAAAATACAGGAATTTTATTCTCCCTCATAGATTTCAGTTAATTTGTTCTTAAAGGGCAAGTGCTGTCTGTCATAATAAAAATATTGAAGAACAGGGGCGCCTGGGTGGCTCAGTCGGTTAAGTGTCTGCCTTCGGCTCAGGTCATGGTCCCAGGGTCCTGGGATCAAGCCCCGCATCAGGCTCCTTGCTCATTGGGAAGCCTGCTTCTCCCTTTCCCACTGCTGTTCCCTCTGCTTGTGCTCTCTCTGTGTGTCAAATAATAAATAAAAAATCTTTAAAAAAATATTGAAGAACATATTTTTCCTGGAGTCTTTAAAGAGGCAAATCTGAAAAAATGTTTCACTCAGAATTATGTAATTTAATTTTTTTTCTCTCTTGCAAGTTGTAAGGGTTATTCCAGTATATATATCACACAAATGAAAAAAAGGAAGTCCAATCTCCTTTTTTTTTTTTTTTTAAAGATTTTATTTATTTATTTGACAGAGAGAGACACAGCGAGAGAAGGAACACAAGCAGGGGGAGTGGGAGAGGGAGAAGCAGGCTTCCTGGGGAGCAGGAAGCCCCATGCGGGGCTCGATCCCAAGACCCTGGGATCATGCCCTGAGCCGAAGGCAGACGCTTAATGACTGAGCCACCCAGGCACCCCCAAGTCCAATCTCTTAATCTAAACTATCACTGCAGCATAAAATGTCCTAATATGATGGTGTTGTCACTTTGTATTTGGCAGATCATCATTAATATGTAAGATATGTGCTGCTTTTGCTGAATTTAGAAAACTGTTTAGATTACAATCCACCTCCCCTTACACTCCGAAAACCATGCTAGCCATAATTCAAGACTGATTGTTTTGGTCAAATATATTTATCTGATTAAACTAATATTTTATTACTCCTATTGTGTGCACAATTCTGCATGCCCAATCACAGGAAACCAGGGACAAATTCTTCCAACTTTGGGAATCGGTGACCTGTGGAAAAAAAACTGGAACATTCTGTGCAACAACAGAGACAGCACATTATTTTCTCCTGTGTTTGGACACATTCAATATAATTTCTTCAGCTAAAAGTCAAACATGTAATGATTTTCACCCATTGGATCTGTTATATAACTGATCAATCAGGAAAACTGTTGCA